ACACAACCACACCACACACCACAACACACAACCACAATCACAGCACAAATCAGCGCACAATGCCAGGACCCACAAACCAACTCGAGAACCGCAAAACTCACGACCAGGGCAACACGCTGCTCCTCACAATGGCATGAAAACAAGTGATTGAAATGTCATGGCGGGGATCAATTTATTAATTAAGCACGCATGCACTCACACGTGCTTTTGGTTTGTTCTGGCTGTGGGTCACCGAGCTCGTGGTGGTCACACAGTTCGTGGAGATTGTTGAGCTTGTGGCGACAGCGTAAACTCCTAAACGTCGCGAGATTGACTTCATGGAGACAGACTACAGTCTTTGCAATTGACGCTTGCTGCTTCTTCACCCAAGTTGGCAGGTCTGAACTGCCCAGGCCGTGACATACGACGAGCGCCCTGACGACCCTGAGGGGCTGATGCGCAAGTTGCGCGCAAGTAGGCGCTGACAAGATGTTGAAGGCGTCTATGTCACAGTATGCACAGTCAGGAAAGTGAGTATGCGCACATGCAACTCCTTTGCTAGACATTGTGCTCAGAGACATTTGGGGAACCAATCATCAAGATCTCTTACGGCCACAAGAACCTGGATGAGGAGACGCGGAAGCAATTGCACCGAGTGCGCGCGCGTGCAAGCTTCGCACTTTGGCTGCCAATGCTATTCAGTGCCGTGTCGCTGGCATCGGGGACGCAGCTCAGCTACAGTCGGACTACTACCCCCTGTGTCGGTTCCCTCCGCCCTATGTGTGCGTGGCTGATGATGTTGCCCCGCTCCGGCGCGTCGCAAACTAGTCTGTGCGGCGGCTTTCGTTGTTGTGTGCCTCTCAGTGTGCTTGGTCTGTCTGCGCACACAAACAGAACTTGGCAACTTCAAGTTCACACAGAAGAATTGAGTGGAAGGAAGAATTGAGAAGAGAGGGGCTGAGGCCCCTCAGCCCCTCTGAACTGTGAGAAGTGAACGAATTTGAATTGCTCAGGGGCTGAGGCCCCTGACGGAAATTGAATTGAAGAAACAATGGGAAGTGAGAAGAGAGGGGCGGAGGCCCCTCAGCCCCTCTTCAAAGAAGATCTGTTCAGAGGCATGTTTCTTGCGTCCCATCGGTCACAAGAAGACACTTTTAAGTCTCCACCGGACCTTGGGGGGTGCTGCACTTGATTTCTCTCAAATAACGTAAATAAGTTGTTTGTCAATGACAGATTGTGCGTTTTGGGCTGGATGGAGGTGAACGGTTTGGTGGCCCATAACTGACGTCGAAATGGACTTCGAACTTGTACTGCTTTAGGTTGGAGAACCTGTTGTAGGGAATGGTGAAGCCTATTGAGCCACCCCAAAAAATTAAGGAGGCATGAACGCATAAATATATCAACGCCAGTTCCACTAGCTTGGCGCTAGCCAAGGCAAGCTCCACATTGGGTCCCGAGTTCCTGTGATCCAACTGAGCGTTTGATCTCGAAGTCGATGTCGATTGGCCCCAAGACTGGGGCAGTTCACCGGATCATCGACCGAAGTCGTTGGGTGGAGTGCACGGGTCCTTTTTTTTCCTTTTTCGCCACCTCCA